GCTCTCTCTCTCTCTCTCTCTCTCTCTCTCTCTCGTCACGGGCTCGTGAGATCAGCCAGGGTGGCTCCCCCTTGGGGCTCCCAAATGATGCCCCTGGCAGCGTTTTGTGACCGTGAGGCTCTCAAGAGATACATGTTGGGGAGGCCAAACGGCAATTCTAGCTGAGGCGTCCCACCAAACTCGGCGCGAACGGGCTCGTGAGATCAGCCAGGGTGGCTCCCCCTTGGGGCTCCCAAGTGATGCCCCTGGCAGCGTTTTGCGACCATGAGGCTCTCAAGAGATACATGCTGGGGGCGCCAAACGGCAATTCTAGCTGAGACGTCCCACCAAAATCGGCGCGAACGGGCTCGTGAGAACATCCAGGGTGGCTCCCCCTTGGGGCTCCCAAATGATGCCCCTGGCAGCGTTTTGTGACCATGAGGCTCTCAAGGGAGACATGTTGGGTGCGCCAAACGGCAATTCTAGCTGAGACGTCCCACCAAAATCGGCGCGAACGGGCTCGTGAGAACAGCCAGGGTGGCCCCCCCCTTGGGGCTCCCAAATGATGCCCCTGGCAGCGTTTTGTGACCATGATGCTCTCAAGAGAGACATGTTGGGGGCGCCAAACGGCAATTCTAGCTGAGACGTCCCACCAAAATCGGCGCGAACGGGCTCGTGAGATCAGCCGGGGTGGCTCCCCCTTGGGGCTCCCAAATGATGCCCCTGGCAGCGTTTTGTGACCATGAGGCTCTCAAGAGATACATGTTGGGGGCGCCAAACGGCAATTCTAGCTGAGACGTCCCACCAAAATCGGCGCGAACGGGCTCGTGAGATCAGCCAGGGTGGCTCCCCCTTGGGGATCCCAAATGATGCCCCTGGCAGCGTTTTGCGACCATGAGGCTCTCAAGAGATACATGTTGGGGGCGCCAAACGGCAATTCTAGCTGAGACGTCCCACCAAAATCGGCGCGAACGGGCTCGTGAGATCAGCCAGGGTGGCTCCCCCTTGGGGCTCCCAAATGATGCCCCTGGCAGCGTTTTGTGATCATGAGAGAGTGTGAGTGTGAGCTTAACTTATCTTATCTTATCTTGAAATCTCTTCTTATCATATATTGTGCTATCTTATCTTATCTTGTAGTATCTTATCTTGTCTTGTCTGATCTGGTGATTATCATTGGGAGGAGGGAGGCGCGAGCGGGAGGAAGAAGGAGGAGGAGGAGTGGGAGGCGTCAGCGTAATAACAAGAACCCCAATCCTTAGGATATGGGGAATAACAAGAACCCCAATCCTTAGGATATGGGGAAAAAGGGCGGCAAGATGCAGGGGCAGGACGAAGGGGCGGCACGTGTCGAAAAGAACAGGGGCGAGCGGAACAGCAGCAAACAATGAATTCGCGACCCACGACAATCCCGAACATAGTCCTCATCGAGAAGGTTGGCGGGGAGCGGGCACGACCGCACGAGTGCGCGACTACAGAGCGAACCGTCACCCTTGGTGAGCAGGGAAAGGGGGCACGACCGCCTGAGTGCCACAACGGCACGGAGGGAGCCGTCACCCTTGAGGTGCGCGGCAGGGATGGCCAAAAACGTCCACATGCTGAAGTTTCTGACGCAGGCACAGGCAGCCGGCAAGGGAAGAAATCTCGCTCACGGCCCAAACGGAGGATAGAGGATAGGTACGGTCAGTGGCACTTGGCGCATTGAACTGGTGGGGGCGCATGTGCCTTGAGGTGGAGGGACGGCTCCCCCCCCCCTGCGGCCGTCTTCGTCGTTGGCCGACGGACCGTAAGGAGGTCGTCGACCCCCTCCTGTGCCAACTGATGGCAGAAGTGAAGGTTGACTGGTGGGGGCGCGAAACCACGCAACCGCATTGATGGAAGCTGCGATGGGTGTGGAGCCCATTGACAGTCCTCATTGGCGAGGCCAAATGACGGTCCTCGCCGAGGGGAGGGGGGACAAGGAAAGGTGGGGCGTAGCGACGATGCTGACCGCGACGCGCCCTGGATGCCGTCCGCGAGGAGGAGACGGGGGAGGGGAGGAGGAGGAGGAGGAGGAGGAGGAGGAGGAGGAAGGAGGAGGAGGAGGAAAGGAGGAGGAGGAGGAAAGAGGAGTGGGGGGGGAGGAGGAGGAGGGAGGAGGAGGAGGAGGAGGAGGAGGAGGAGAAGGAGGAGGAAGAGGAGGAGGAGGAGGAGGAGGAGGAGGAGGAGGAGAGAGAGGAGAAGGACGACGAGGAGGGGGAGTAGGGGGAGGGGAGGGGTCGCCCTGCCCTCCTTCGCCGCAGCGGGCGGCGCGGCGGCGGTCGCGGCGCCTTGGGCACCCTCACGCGCAGGCGCGACAGGGCGCCCTGCAGCCTGGCCGGCGGCGGCGGGCCGCGGGCGGTCGTCGTCATCGACTGTGTGTGCGTGTGGGAGAGCGTGAGCGTGTGCGTGTGCGTGTGCGCGTGCGTGCGTGCGTGCGTGTGCGTGCGCGTGTGCGTGCTTGTGTGTGTGCGTGTGTGTCTGCCCTCCATGTGGGGCGTTCCCTTGGGCGGCGGCCAGTGCCCTCTCCACTTCTCCACGTCATCCACGCCTGGATGGCAATGTGCTGCCCCCCTCTGAGCCGTTGCGCGCGTTTCTGCCGCCACATTCGACTTGCTTCGCCTCGTCGCCGCGCGCGAGGCCGCGACCGCCAAAAAGTGTGTGTGTGTGTGTGTGTTTGTTTGTGCGTGTGCGTGTGCGTGTGCGTGTGCGCGTGCGTGTGTGCGTGCGCGCGTGTGTGTGTGTGTGTGTGTGTGTGTGTGTGTGTGCGTGTGCGTGTGCGTGTGCGTGTGCATGCGTGTGCGTGTGCGTGTGCGTGTGCGTGTGCGTGTGCGTGTGCGTGTGCGTGTGCGTGTGCGTGTGCGTGTGCGTGTGCGTGTGCGTGTGTGTGTGTGTGTGTGCGTGTGTGTGTGTGTGTGTGTGTGTGCGTGTGCGTGTGCGTGTGCGTGCGTGCGTGCGTGCGTGCGTGCGTGTGCGTGTGTGTCGCCTCCAGTGGGCTCATTGCCGCCATCCAACCCCTTAAAACAACAACATAAACAAATGCGGAAGACCTAAACCTGTGAAGCTGCGTGCAGCGCATGGCATGCCATTATCATCATGTACTGCGCGCCGCGGAGCAGGGTCTGCAGAGCAAGAGAACAACAGCGGGCTGAATCCCCTGCGAAGCATGATCCGCGCGAGGAGGGGGGGCCGAATAGGGAATCCCTCACGCAAGCCCGCCCATTGAGGCCTTATGAGCTTTGCCTGTGCCAGTACGATACGCGTGACGGGTGTGCCGACTTGGGCGGGGCGATGGCATGCGAACCCGCCCACTGGTGCCACAGGTGGAATTTCCTACGTGGCACGGTTCGGATGAGGGGTGTGCCGAGATGGGCAGAAGACCGCACGCGGGAACGCTCACTGGCGCCGTGGGTGAAACTCCCTGTCGTGCACGATCCGTGTGAAGCATGTGCGGCACTGGGCGATGGGACCGCTAAGGCACAAGGGAACTTCATGTGGGGCACAATCAGCACGACAAACGTGCCGAGATAGGCGGCTGCATGCTGCCGCACCGTGCCCGCAGGTGGAACTCCCAATTGGGGCGCGGTCCGTGAGATGGGTGCCACAGCGGGAGGGGCGCGGCACTCGCCGGCGCCAACTGAGACGATGTGTTGATGGAAAAAGGTGCGGAACGCATGAGGATGGCGGCGGGGAGGAGAGGACGCGCAGCGCTGCGGAGAAAAAGCGCTGGCCCAGCAAGGCAGGTGACTAGAAGGGGGAGGGGCTAGAGGTCTTGAACAAACAGTGTCCTAGCATGAAATATCGATTAATGACATGGCCGCCTCAACTCCCCCCTTTTCCATTTGTTTTGGACGCAAATTAAATCCGACCGCATACCACCCAAAGCGCAAGCCCCAGAAATGTTGTGGTTCATGTTTTGGGGGGCCCTGACGGGCCTCGACTTGGTCTGGTACCACTTGTGGTCTTGGGACTGGGCGGTCCCGCCCCGGGAAAAAATTGAATTCCCCTCACCTCCCTTTGTTCGCGGTACTCGTCGACTACATTACAAAAAAAAGGAGAATTGTCAATCCAACAGCTCGCGAAATCATCCCACTCAACCACCCACAACTTCGTTTGCAAAACCCATGAGGCGATTACGATGCATGTTTGGTGTGTTTTTCAATACCGGTGTGGCGCCCTTAGTGCTAAGCCACAGCGGCTACGGATGCAGAGCAGTTCCTCCCTGACCCGTGCCTGAAAAATCTCATAGCTGATATGCACGATGCCTTGATAAAATTCCAACGGGCGGAACCAGTCTGAACAGAACTGCGCAGGAGCTGTGCACAGAACAGAACAGAACAATAGCAAGCAGAAAACGGAGCGAAGCTTCCTCGCGACTCGTGTCCAGCGAAACTTCAAACTCAAGTTCAAGTGAGGGGGAGCCTGCAGAAGGTTGGTCTCCTTACTGCGCCCCGAGCGGCGCCAGAGCACCGCTTCCCTCCGATTCTGGAACCCATGCAAAGCAGCAACCCGACACAGATCCAGGGGTTCAGGGACCTCGAGCCAGTAGAAGCATGATGCATGTTTGGTGCTGGCTGGTGCATCCGTGCTGCCGTGCCAGCTCTCGCATGCTCGCGCGCACAGCGGTCAGCAAATTTGGCGCGACCGACGCGGCTGCGGTGGCGCTGACCGCTGGGTATTTCCCGACAGGCTCTTCAGTGCGAGTCGGTGAATTGGGCACGCGCGGTATCATGGCGACGTCGACAACGGTAGACAAGAGGATGACAGTAACAATGATGGTGACAATGATGAAAATGACGACGGCAAGGCCGCGGATGCTGATCACGCCAGTGACGAGGACGGCCTCCCCTCGTCGGTGATTCATGTTTTCGAACGAGTGCGGCATGCGCGCGCGGCCAGCGCGCGCGAGTGGCCCGCATGGTATTATTTGGCAGGGGCTGCGCTACCCCCCCAGCACGCGCACAAGGGCGTTCGAATGGTTTAGACATGCTGCGCGAGAGGCCCGTTTGGTCGACATGGATGAATGTGTCAAGCGACGTATGGCTTTCTTAAGAATGCGCAAATGCGCGCAAACATTCGTCTGAAAACTGATGTTGCCTGACCAGGTCGTTTTCCCCCAACCATCCTGTGGTGTTGGGTCCTCGTTTTGAAGAGACGGTGCCCCGCGTTGCTCTCGTTTCCTCCTCCTCCTCCCTCTCCTCCCTCCTCCCTACGTTTCATCATCATCACCCGTTTCAGCACACCCCTCACACGTTCCGTGCCCCATAGGGAGCTCCACCGAAGGCCCCAATCGGACCGCCCGCATGCGTCACGCACCACCCAGTACAGCGTTTCGTGGCCCCATACGGAGCCCCACCGAAAGTCCTAGTGGGACCGCCCGCATGCGTCACGCACCACCCAGCACAGCGCTTCGTGGCCCCATGAGGAGCTCCACCGACGGCCCCAATCGGACCGCCCGCATGCGTCACGCACCACCCAGTACAGCGTTTCGTGGTCCAATAGGGAACCCCACCGATAGCCCCAGTACCACCGCCCGCATGCGTCACGCACCACCCGTTTCGTGGCCCTATAAGGAGCCCCCCCGAAGGTCCCAGTGGGACCGTTCGCATGCGTCACGCACCACCCAGTACAACGTTTCATGGCCCATAGGGAGCTCCACAGACGGCCCCAGTGGCACCGCCCGCATACGTCACGCACCACCAAGTACAACGCTTCGTGGCCCCATAGGGAACCCCACCGGCGGCCCCAGGCACCGCCCGCATGATCCTGCACACCCAGTACAGCGCTTCGTGGCCCTATAGGGAGCCCCACCGAAGGTCACACTGAGACCGTCCGCATGCGTCGCCCCCATGTCACCGCGAAGAGAGTGTACAACAAAGAGTGGTTCACATGCAATATGAAGGCGGACATGAGGACATGCAATATAAGAACACACAAAGATGACACGTGCCACCCCGAACACCTTCTGAGAAAGAACAGCTGGTTCACTTGCATTGTGGAGGTCAACATGGGCCACCAAAGTCAGATAACACCAACATGATAAGAGTCATCCACACAACTGCATGAGATCAAACATGTGTTACTTGCATGCGGGAAAACGGCAACACACGAGGTGACACGCGTCACCCCGAAGACCGTGTGATAGAACGACATGGTGTCCACTTGCAGTCTGAGGGCCAACATGGGGCCCAGGGCCATACGTGTCACCCAGAAAACCGAATGGATAAACATATGTTTCAATTATACTCTGAAGTCAAACGTGGGGCCATGTCAAAAAAACGAACACCCCAAGATGGCATGTATCACCCCGAAAACCACGTGCGAACATAATGATTTTTCCACTTGAATATTGAAGGCCGACACGGAACCATGTGATTCAGAACGCAAACGGATGACTCGTGTGGACACCATTTGTTCCACGTGTACTCGTAGTGCCAAAGTGAGGCGATGCAAAAGGAGAACTAACCGAGGAAACACATGTCACCCCAAACAACGTGTGAGAAAAAAACCAAGGGCCTATGCATTATCAGAAAATACACAAGGTGTCACGTGTCATCCCGAAAACCGTGTGATACAAAACAATTGGTTCACTGGAATTCTGAGGGGCAACATGGAGCTTTGCAACACAAGAAGGTACCAACGTGACACGCGTCACCCAGAAAACAGTGATAAAAAACAACATATCCCACTTGCATTCTGATAACAAGCATGGGGCCATGCAATACAAGAACACGCCAGGGTGAAACGTGTCACCACGAACACCATGTGGTAAAAACCAAGTGTGTCACTTGCATTCTGAGCGCCAACATGGGGCCATACAATGAAATAATGCACCAACGTGACACGTGTCACCCCGAAGACCTCGCGAGAACACCGCATTGTTTCACTTATACTCTAATGGCAATGACAAACATGGCGCCATGCTCAATGGGAAAACACCTGGGTGACACGCGTCACCCAGCAAAACGGTGCTCGAAAAAAACATGTGTTGCACTTGCATTCTGAAGGCAGGCATTTGCCCATGCAACGTCAGAGAGCACATGGGGTGTCATCCCGAAAACCGTTTGATTAAAAGCAAACATATTACTTGTATTCTGGGGACTTGCACGAGGCCACCTAAAATAAGAACACACTGAGATGGCACGTGGCACCCCGAAAACCACGTGAAACCAAAATTGTGCCACTTGCAAACTGAGAACCAGCATGGGGTCGTGCAGCGACAGAAGTCACACGGGGTGACACGTGCCACCCCGAAAACCTTGTGAGAACAACCCGTTGTTTCGCTTGTACCCTGATGGCAAAAAAAATGGGGCCCTGCAGCACTAGGGCGATCCACAGGGGCGCGCAGCCTGGTGGGAAACCCTTGTGGACCGGCGCTGAGGTCGAGCCTTCGCCTGCCCCACCCGCCTCGCCCGCCCCCCTCCCCTCTCCCACTGTACTGTCCGAGCGGCCTCTCTCTCGATGCTGGGCCTGCAGAAGACGGAGGACGAGAGGCGGTACCTTCCGCAGAGTTCGTCAACGACTCAACCTCGACGCCTCGGCCTGAACCACCTGTATGGCCTAGCCGCGTTGGGCGGAGGGGGTAAAATCGAGCAATTGTTTGGCAGTTTGGCTAATGCCGCTTTGAGGGCATCTAGCTGCTGCGGTAGAGTTAAAGGGCGCCCGTCTTGAGGCGCGGCGATTTCCTGATCAACGTGGTAAATATAAAAAAGGAGACGGAGGAAGAGGAGAGGGATGACGAGGAGGAGGGGGGGCGAGAAGAGGAGGAGAGAGGGAGGGAGAGGCACAAAGGAGGAGGCTCGTGAGGAAGAAGAGGGAGAAGGGAAAGGGGAGTGGGTGGGGGGAGGGGGCAGGAGGAGCACGCGGAAGACGACGAGGGGGAGTATAGGATGGGGAGGAGAGGAAGGAGGAGAGGCACGAAGGAGGCTCGTGAGGAAGAAGAGGGAGAAGGGAAAGAGGAGGGGGTGGGGGGGAGGGGGCAGGAGCACGCGGAAAACAACGAGGGGGAAGTAGAGGAGGGGGAGGAGAGGAAAGAGGAGAGGACAGGAGCGGCGGTCGACGCCGTCGCCGTCCTCCCTCGACCACGCGGCTCTGCGGGGCGCCTGGCCACGCACTCCCGCCCCTCGGCCAGCTCGTCCGCGAGGGCACGGCCCAGGTAGGCGCGTCGCGCGAGGCGGGATAACCTCCCGCGCGCAAGCTTGCGTTTTGGGGTCCTCCTCCTCCTCCTCCTCCTCCTCCTCCTCCTCCTCCTCCTCCTCCTCCTCTCTCCCTTCGGCATGCTATGGAGGTGGTGCACTCCTGCAGCGTCGGCAAGGGCCTGCAGCAGAACGCGTGAGAGGCGAGAACCGCGAGCCGAGGGCATACACGATGGCAGCGGTGCGCGGTGTGCGCGGGAGCAGGGGACTCTGCCTGTCCCCCACCATCCTCTCCTCTCCCTGCAACCCTCCCCCCCTCCTCCTCCAACTGCTCCTCTTCCTCCTCCTCGTCCTCCTTCTCCTCCTCCTCCAACTGCTCCTCTTCGTCGTCATCCTCCTCCTCCAGCTGCGTCTATTCCTCCTCCTCCTCCTCCTCCTCCGCCTCCTCCTCCGCCTCCTCCTCATCCTCTCTCCTCCCCCTCTCTCATCGTCCTCCTCCTCCTTCTCTTGTCCTCCTCCTCCTCCTCCTCCGCCTCCACCTCCGCCTCCTCCTCCTCCTCCTCCTCCTCCTCATCATCATCCTCGTCCTCCCTCTGTCCTCCTCCTCCTCCTCCTCCTTTTCCTCCTCTCCCTCCTCCTCCTCCGCCCCTCCTCCTCCTCCTGCTCCTCCTCCTTCTCCTACTCCTCCTCCCTCACCTGCTCCTGCTCCTGCTCCTGCTCCTGCTCCTGCTCCTCCTCCTCCTCCTCCTCCTCCTCCTCCTCCTCCTCTCCTCCTCCTCCTCCTCTTCCTCTCTCCTCCTCCCCTCTCCTCCGCCTCCTCCTCCTGCTCTCCTCCTGCTCCTCCTCCTGCTCCTCCTCCTGCTCCTCGTCCTCCTCATCCTTCTCGCTCGTCCTGCTTCTCGCTCGTCCTCCTCCTCCTGCTCCTGCTCCTGCTCCTGCTGCTGCTGCTCCTCCTCCTCCTCCGCCTCCTCCTCCTGCCCTCTTCTTCTTCCTCCTCCCCCTCCTCCTCCTCCTCCTTCCCCTCCCTCCTCCTACTCCTCCTCCTCCTCTCCTCCTCCTCTTCCTCCTCCTCCTCCTTCTCGTCTTCCCCTTCCTCCTTCTTCCTCCTCCTCCTTCTCCGCCTTCTCCTCTTCTCTCGTCGTCGTCGTCCTCGTCCTCCAACTCGTCCTCCTCCTCCTCCTCCTCCTTCTCCTCCTCCTCCTCCGCCACTCTCCTCCTCCTGCTCCTCCTCCTCCTCCGCACCCTCCTTCTCCTCTTGTCGTCCTCCTCCTCCCTCGTCCTCCTCCTCGCTCGTCCCTCCTCCTCCTCCTCCTCCTCCTCCTGCCATCTCTCTCCTCCTCCTCCTTCTCCTTCTCCTCCCCCCTCCTCCTCCTCCTCCTCCTCCTCCTCCTCCTCCTCCTCCTCCTCCTCTTCCTCCTTCTCCTTCTCCTTCTCCTCCTCCCCCTCCTTTTCCTGCCCCTTCCCCTCCTCTCCCCCTCCTCCTGCTCCTCCTGCTCCTCATGCTCCTATTCCTCCTCCTCCTGGCTGCGAACTGCGCAACCGTGGACACTTTCGTGGGCTCCATGTGGGCATGGCGGAGTCGGGGAGCACGCGCATTTAGACGAGACCTCGCATCTCCCTGGGAGACTGCGAACTGCGCACCTGGCGCTACGTTCGTGGCCTCCTGGGAGGTCGAGTGTAGTCGGGGAGCACGCGCATCCAGACTAGAACCACGAGCGCGCTTCGCGCGCTTGGGTTCTAGTGAGCATCGACCCTTGGTAAGTCCACTGCTGCATGCATGTACGCATGTTGTTCACAGCTGTTCGCAACGCCTTGACAACATCTCAACTGTAGTGCTGTCTCCTACATGGTGCGAGCCGTGTAATGCGCTCTCGCCGACCTCGTTGTCACTGCAATGGCGGTTGTCGCCGCCGTCGCCGTAGCCGTCATCGTCGTCGTCGTCGTTGTCGACGGCATCGGCATTGAAAGTCTGTGGAGGCTTCCCCAGATCTTAGGTGTTCGCATTGTCCCTCCTCACTCCTCCTCCTCCTCCTCCTCCTCCAGGAACGCACTGGACTACGATCCGAGCGGAGTTACAGGAGGAATGCATTGAACAGCGAACATAAATTCGTTAATTTCTCGCTTCGTGTCGCTCCAATGCTCGTTGCGAGTGTTTCGCGGGCGCTTAGGTTCTAGCACGCCCCAGCCCGTGGCCAGCGAACAGCTGAACTCACCGCAGTTGCCTCGAAGATCAGCTGAAGAAAAAACAAGGCCCAAATTCAAACCCAAACGAATCGACGACACGGGTACACCCGAAAAAACTAAAACGAAACTTTGCAAAAACCGGTGCCCTTGTTGGGCGCCTTTCGCGGCCGCCGCGAAAGCCTCTTGAGCTGCCCAAAACCATTTCCTGGGCCGTGTTGGGACTCGCCTGTACCGTCTTGAAATCTCTTCTGAGTCACTGGAAACCTCCTCTTCCTCCTCCTCTTCCTCTTCCTCGTCACTTAGCCCTGATCCTCCTCCTCTTCCTCCTCTTTCTCCTTCCCCTCCTCCTCCTCCTCCTCCTCCTCCTCCTCCTTCCTTCCATCACTCCTGCTGGCCTACGCCTCGAGAGATCCGGGGCGGCCCGTTGGCCACAGGCTGCGTGCCCCCACGGGGCCAGCCTGAGGCCTCGCGGGGGCAGAGAGCACGCAACGACTGCCCTCGGGATGGAGAGCCGTGCCTTGCCCTGAGGTCCGGGGGAGCCCCGTGCATCGAACAAATCGAAGCGCGGGATGTCCGCCTCCTCCTCCTCCTCATCCTAGGCATTGCCCCCCCCTCTCCTCCTCCTCCTCCTCCACCTCCTCCTCCTCCTCCTCCCCCTCCTCCTCCTCCTCCTCCTCCTCCTCCTAGGAGATGTCTGCCCACCTCCATTAGGGAGCCCACAAAGGACGTGCGCGCCCAACCAGGTACATGAGCACGGCCCCTCGATCAGCGAGACCGGGCGCGCATGACGAACGATCGCGCAGTGCGTACTCTCGAACACAATGTGGATTCATGTACGTGTACGTCCTTCTGTCGCTCCTAATGCATCTCCCCCGCCCCCGCCCATAGATCCGCCCGGTTTGAACACGCGTGCCTAATTAAAGGGGTCCCAAGGCGGGGAGGGGGAGGGGCGAGGACGGGGGTTCGTCTTCTCGGTTCTCGTCCTCCTCCGACTTCCTAAACTTTCCCGTATCTTCCTGGGGGTCGACGATGATTTGTGTCTGTGTGTTTGCTCCACTCCTGGAAAACAGGCGGAACGAAGGAAGCAACGAACAAGGCGGAGGCGAAACGGAACTGGTCCCTCGACCCCCCCCCCGTCCTGCTCCCACCCTGCCCCCCCTGCGACGCCCACCACCACCACGACGACCTCGACGCCGACGTCGTCGACCAGTCGGCGAGACGTAAGACTCGGGCACGGGGGACTCGGATTGGCCTGACAGGGCCATCATGAAAATGACGAGACCCAATCTGAAATCTGACGCGAATTCCTGCTGCAAACATACCACGAACACCGGACCGTCAAAACCCAGTACGCGCTCGTCAAAAAAACGCCAGCAAACTCGAGTCCAGGCTCATTCGACTCTTGCGTTTCCCCGACCTAAGCGCGATCCCCAAGTACATCGTGAGGTCCAGAGCGAGAGCGTGACTTCTGAGCGTCGAGCGCGCGGCACTTCCATGAATTGCGAGGACGACCGACGCGAGAGCGCCATTTTTTCCGGATGCAGAGTGAGGGAAAACCTCACACGAAAACGCGACTTTGAATAAGCTGTGACGAAATGTCCGGTCGGCGGCGGCGACGCCGGCAGCGCCGACACGGCGCTGTCGGAAACGCGCGCGGAACCAGCCGCCGCCGGGGCGCTGCGCGCTGGAGCCGTCGGCGGCGGCGCCCCTCCAGGCCTCGCGAGCCTGGCCGCGGGTCTCGGGCGGTGGGGGGCTCCAGGCGCGGCCAAGTCGGCGAGGGAATATCCGATAGGGAAGGGCCAGCACTAGGCCGGGCGTGTCCTCCTACAGGCGGATTTTGGACGAAAAATGATGCGTACCCAAAAATGAGCAACAAATGTACAATAATACGAAGAAATCGTTCCCATACTATGTTTTGTTAGACTATCCAAGTGCGACCCTACCTAGGAGTTTGATCATTTAGGAACGCAACATCTGCATCTACACCGACAGCTACATTTACATCCACACCTGCATCTACATCTACATCAACATCAACAGCGAGACTCACATCTACATCTACATCTACATCTACACCTACATCTACACCTACACCTACACCTACATCAACATCAACATCTACATTTACACCTACATCCACATCTACACCTACACCTACACCTACATCTACATCTACATATACAATTTCGCATTGGTGTTGCGTTTGCTATGCTGTGCTGCGCTATGCTATGCTATGTTATGCTATGATATGCGGCGCTATGCTATGATATGATATGCTATGCTATGCTGTGCTGTGCTATGATATGCTGCGCTGTGCTATGCTAAGCAATGCTATGCTATGCTATGCCGCGCTATGCTATGCTATGTTATGTTGAGCTATGCTATGCTATGCATGGCTATGCTATGCTATGCTATGCTATGCTATGCGATGCAATGCTGATGCTGCGCTGCGCTATGCTGCGCTAAACTAATCTAAGGTAAGCTAAGCTATGCTAAGCTAAGCTAAGCTAGGCTAGGCTAAGGTAAGCCAAGCTAAGCTAAGCTAAGTCAAGTCAAGCCAGGCCAAGCCAAGCCAAACTAGGCAAAGCTAAGCTAAGATGATATAGGCTAAGCTAAGCTAAGATGAGATAAGCTAAGATAAGCTAAGCTCGGGTAAACTTAGCTAAGCTAAGCTGGGTAAACCAGGGGACGTAATTGGGGGAACCGCGGGGCGGATACCGGGGGAACCGCCAGGGGCGATTAGCACAGCCCGGCCCTTTAAGCAAAGAGAATAAGAACCCTTCTAGGCAGAGCCTTATGTAGGGAACTATTTCTGAATATCCCTCCTGAGCGGCATCGACCTGCATTCGGCGATACATCGCCGATCGACCGGCGGTCAGGTGGGAGGCAACTAAAGGGAGGTTCTCGCCGGAAGGATCAGGCAAACTATTAAGCCTCTCAGGGTGGCTGCCATGCTGGAGTGGGCCGCGAATCAGGCGGGATTCAGCGGGATTGAACCGGATTAAGCCGTATTAAACGAGAGGAAGCCGAATTTCGGACCAGGGCAAAGTCAGAATTTGACCTCCAAAGAGTTGCATCCGAAGATGAACCCCCGATAATCAAACAGCATGGTCCTTGGTGGGGTGGGCCATCGGGCCCCCATTGGCAAGCAGTGGGCATCGGGGTCGATGCAGCAAACCCTGAGCCGATCCCCCCTTAATTCCACCAGCCGTGAAAGGCGTTCATGAATTAGGAAATGGATCCTTCCAACCCGCTTCTTCCCTATTCGGGAAAAATCTTCATCATTCCGTATTGATACACGCCCCACCCCCCACCCAAGAAGCGACAGACCGGGGACACTGCCCCCTCCCCATCATCCCTGGAACAAAACAATACCAAGCTGCACTTCGCACGAAAATCTGGATCATGCGTGGGCGCCCCGCGATCAATCAGTATTGGTTCCGGACAGAGATGACCGGGGCAACGCCATCATCCACCACCACATTTTTGACATTAATAATAAAAATTGCACGCTGCACCTACATCTGAATGGAACACGGGCGCCCCCCGATCACTTCGCACTGAATGTTCAAAGGGACGGCGGAAGGGGGGGCACATTTTACGCGATGCGTGCAACGCTGGCACCCACACCATCCTTGGCAACATAAGCTGCACAAGTACACTCTGCACCGACATGAAAATGAGACGCGGGCGCTCAGCGATCATTTCGCATTGAGGTCGGCGGAGGGGCCGTCAGATTGCCTGCTGTGTGCAAGCCCACCAACCCAGTCAAACAAAATGCATTGTGACTGCGCGTGCGCACACAATACACAATGCTCAGACAAGCTTTATCGCTGTTCATTGTTTGTGACGTGGACTGTGGGGACCCATAGGCGGGGTCGACCTATTGCCCGATTTGACGCACCTGGCATGCGCGGCTCACCTCTCGCGGTCGTCGCGCACCTGGTTGGCGTCTGTATTGGTTCCGGACCGTTGCCAATAGCGGCCCCTGCCCCCCTGCTCGATGGCGTCGATGGCCCAGCTTGCCGCCAGTTCGCCCGCCCAGGCTCTCGGCTGCCCCCGCGCGTGGATGGCCTCGAAGACTCTCGCGCGGCCCGCCTCGGAGATCTCGGGCAGAGCGTTGCGCCAGCCCATGAGCAATGCTCCTAGGGGCTCGCCTGCTCGGAAGCGCTCCGTCTCGCCATCGCCCCGCTCGCAGGCGACGTCGCGCCGCCAGGTGCCCCCCTCGAGGTTCGCGTCGCTGGCTCGGCAGTGCCTTGCGCGGGGGGCAAGGAGCACGCTGCGCTTCTTGGCGGACTTCGGCCCCCTGCTCGGGCCGGTCCAGTTCTCGACCGCGGAGATGTTGATGAGGGCGATCCTGTACATGTCCCCTGCGCTCGAGTAGGCCAGCTCCACTTGCGCCTCGTGGTCGGGGTGCTCTGCCAAGTACTTGGCCTTTTCCGCCTCGAAGGCTGCTCTGTCCTGCTCGTTCTTCGTCTCGCGGTGCTTCTCGCGGAGGTTCTCGATGTCTTCCTTGACGCCTGCGGCGCAAACCTTTAGGCCGCCCGAAATGGGCGCGGAAAGAGCGGGCGCGGTGCCCCGCGACAAATGTCGCCCCGAACCAACGGCGGCCGCTGTTGGGCATGGGGCCTGCTGTCTCAAATGGGCGCAGGCCGCGGCGACATCGACAGCGAATCCGGTTCAAAATGAACAGGAACTGCTGTTGGGCATTGTGCCCTTTCTTCCCGTGCCCATTTCGCTCGCGCCGAGACCTCGCCCCCGTGGACGCACGCCTGCTCCTCTCCCCGGAGCTTGAGCCAGAGCGCGGCGGCGTCGACGACGGCCACGCTCGCGTCGGCCCCGTGCTGGGGGGAAGGTCTCGGGGCCCCAGGCGAGGAAGCCGAGGTCCTCGGAGCCGCCCCTCGCCGCCAGGTGCACGAGCCTCGCGGTGGTAGTACTACTATTACTACTCCAAGTACTAGTTACTACTAGTAGTAGTACCTTGTGGTAGAACCTGGTTGTAATAATACCTGGTAGTAGTAAGAGTAGTACATGGTAGTAGTCGTACCACCTGATTCAAACAAGTAGTAGTAGTAGTAGTAGTAGTAGTAGTAGTAGTAGTAGTGGTGGTAGTAGTAGTAGTAGTACTACTACTACCTGGTAGTAGTAGTAGTAGTAGTAGTAGTAGTAGTAGTAGTAGTAGTCGTAGTAGTCGTAGTAGCAGTTGCTCGTGCGAGTAGTAGTGGCATCCTTGAGCTCGTTGGTCCACTCATTGCCGCGGGTGCAAATCGGGCGCTTTGCAGCCGCATTGCTTTGCAGCGGAATCCATGAACGCCGCGAGAGGAGCGCCGCCGCCGCCGCCGAGATGCTCGACGAACTCAAGCGAGGTATTGCTGTACTTAGCGCTCGGCACGTTGAGCGAAACTACGTTCTCGGTAGCCAACAAATTCCAGCCCTCGAGCTCGCGCGCCCCTGGGTCATTGGCACTCGCCGCCAAGGTCATGTAGGTCTCGAGCTCCCCGACCTCAGTGCCGATGTGGTTCTGCGTGTCCAAAGCTCTCTGGGCTACAACTGCAAAGCTTGGGAACAGCTCGTCAATCGCACTTGGGGCCACCGCCCGCGCCCAGCCTTTCTCAATCGTGATTTTGAACTGTGCGTTTTGGAACATCTTCTGCGCGTCCATCGAATCTGAGCCACGGCATTGCAATGACTTCTGCGACTTGCCCTGAAGCCCTGCCCGCCTGCAAAAAGGCGCGGCGTGCCCGCGCCGGATTGTCGCGCAGCGCTCCGGCCCATTCATAGGCGCTAGAAGCCCCAGGCTCGATCCACCAGCTGCTACTTTCCAGCAATGCGCTGCCGGCGGAGGCGGGAGTTGACCCCCAGCTCGATGCGCAGGGCGCCTGATAGCTGGCGCATGTCAGCTCCGCAAGCGTGGATCCTCGCAGCATTGCGGCGCACATTTTGCGGGCCCAACAGAAGCCCCCCTCGATATATTGCATGAGCGGGGAAACATGTCGGAAGGATGTGGTCCACTGTGCACGCCAGCTTGCGATCGCGGAGGCACTGCGAAAGTTTGTCAAAGTGCTCGTTCGCTCTTACTTCTTTCAAATCCAACATCTTCTGGAAATCATCTTTGAAAGCTTCGGTGAGCTGGGCCATCGCGCCCGCGGTATACGGCGCGCGAAAGTGAGAAGCTCGAAGAAACATGCAACTATGATGCTTTGACCCGAAACGGCTATACAAACAGCGGATGGCAAACGCAAGCGCAAGGCCCGCAATCTTCATCGCAAGTAAAGCGCCCCAGGCCCATCGAGTACCTAATGGCTCGCATGCCCCCCGCCCTTATCCAGAAATTCAACGCTGATGCGTGAGGACATTTTGATGTTCGCACGTGCAATGCAGGTTGGTCTTGAATCCACCGAACGGGCCGTGGGGCGATTCGCGCGGTCAACCCGAGCCTTTAGCTTAGACGAAGGGCACTTATACCGACCGGCGGATGGATGGTGACATCTTGGTGTGTCCGAGCTCGAAATTCAAAATTTCGTTTTTTGGCGTTCGTTGCCCACTTGGTTCTCAAACTTGTGGTACATCGGGAGCTACGTGTTCAACGCGAAGATGTATGTTTCGTTTCGAGACATATGGCTTTTGGGTTGATCATATGTCGAACTCAAACGTTCAGCTAACATTTATTTCAGGTTAACCTACGATCAGCAACAATGTTACCATCATATAATTATGTTACCACAATTAGGGAAAAACGCTATGCTTAACCGGTATCATACTTAGCATGTGCTAAACCTATTATACAGTTCATGTTGGCGCATGAGAGTCCAGACATTATAGCTCAATCTGATAAGCAAGCCAAGTAGCTCTAACAGCATGCTGCTGGCTTGCAAGGGGAGTGTGCGCACGCAGTAAACACCTTAGCAACTCCCTATAAAGCTCGCGAGCTCTAGCGAAGCCGACGCTCATCTCAGTTAGGCGGAAGCTTTTCCTGCAGGCGCCCCCGCTCGCCTGGGAAGGCGCGGGGGGCCCTGGTTCGCCCGGGGGGGTTCCTGGGCAGGCCGGCTCGCCCGGCGGGGGGGTCGGTCCGAGCCGCGGAGTCGCCCGAGGGGGTCTCGGCGCCGAAACCTCGAGGGCCGCCTCCGGGGCCGAGCGATTGACGGACAATTGGAGCAGGGGGCGGCCAAAGATAGACAAGGGGGGCGAAGGATAAGAGCCGGAGGGGAGCGCGATCGGCCCACCGAGGGCAAGAAGCGGAGAGAAAGGGAGTTCTCCGGTAGATCACACCAAGAAGAGGGCGAGGTTGATGACTAAATTAAGTCTCTGACTTTGCACGCGCAAGCCTTGGCGGGCCACCGCGAGGGCGGCTTGCTGGGCGCTGCTCGACCGCTAGGCGCTCTACGCCTTGGAAAAGCAGCTCGTCACCCTCGCTGCGTCCGCGCCCTGCGCGCTCGATTGGCACCGGCGCATCTCGGCGATCGCGCGCTTGTCCGCTGCGAGGGGCAACTTGTCGAGGATCTTCTCGTTCTGCTTGGCCATGCGCTCGGGAATCTCGTCGAAGCTCGGGCTCGGGGTCGCGACGGTCCTGAGGGCCTCGACGGGGGGCTCGCCGCCGCGGCGCGCTCGGCGGGCTGGGACATCGCTGGGGCTCGCGACGCACTTGGGGGCAACGACGCGGGGGGATGGGCGTTGCGGGGGGGGATCGACCTGGAATCGACGATGCATCGCCGATGCATCGGCGATGCGCGCCCGATCGTGAATCCGCGCGTTCCTGGGCAGGTTCGGCACGCCTGCCCCCCCCTGTCGCCGCCCCTGGGGCGAAGAGGCTCGGCGCCTCGAAGAGGCTCGAAAGCGCGGAGTCTCAGGGGCTCGGGGGCGCCCGGGCCCGGGCAGCTGCGGGGGCAGAGGAGGAGGAGGAGGAGGAGGGGGAGGAGGAGGAAGAGGGGAAGAGGGGGGAGGAGGAGGAAGGGCCACGGACCGTGCGAGGGGTGCGCTAAAGAAGTAATTCACTTAACTCCAATGCTCTGCCTGCTCGAAAAACGCACGCGCAATCAAAATCCAATCGGCCCCTATGGCCCTGCCGCGCGTTCCTGACTCGGGAACGGCTGAGACAATGAGAATCCCATGGCCCTGCCGCACGTTCGTAATGTGGGCAAACTGAACTGGTGAAAATCGCACAGCCCTGCCACGCGCTCGTGATTGCGGAAGCTGGCGTGGTGAGACCCCCGTGGCCATGCTCAGCGTCCTTGATGCTGCTGCTAGTCAACATGAGATGATATCAACTTCGATTCGCAACTTCCCCGTGGATTCGAAAGTTCGGCCCCCGCGCCCCCCTCTACAATTAAATCCTATTGGACGGGGGTTAAAATATACGAGGGGTGAAGGGGGGGACTCGGTTAACCGCTCGGTCGCCCGTCAACGTCTCGATCTGGAAGGATGCGATTTCATGTTTCCGGCCATCTCACTCGCAAGCCCGACGAGCTACTTGGAAGGGCACGGCCACCATGGATCTCACTTTCTTCCCGTGTGCACCATCACCCATGATCCTCATGACTGACCCATTCGCTGCGCTGTAGTGGTTGCCTTTCATTGAGGCTTCCGTTCGACTTAACGCGGAAGTGAGTTCCCACGCTTGGAAGCACAACAGCGTTGCAGGCCCCTGAATCCACGGCGACAACAATCGCCTCAATCTCACTTTCATGGCCCGTCACTTTCCTTGTTCGGGTCCATGTATTTTCCGCGAACTGTAGTTCTGAGACAGATTGCAAGTTGTTTTCCTGCTTGACGCAATCTGGAGCCCGGTTGTCCCAAGTGGTGCCGCGGTTGCAATCGGCGCCGCACTCTTGTGGTGCCTGCGTCCTCTTAATCTCTAGCCTTGCATCCCGGTTCCTCCTCTTCGTCGCCTGGCACTGTGTTGCCCACTCCTGTGCCCTTCCACGCGGCCCTGGTGCCTTGGGGCCATCGGCAACTGAACTCTTGGCAGTGACGTCATCCACCTCGACGCGGTGGTATCCTGGCTCTTGTAGAGGTTGTCCAGACATTTGCGTGAGCTATTCTGGCCCCCCCTGCCTCCCTTTGACATGGGGCGACCCATATGGTGCTCTTACAGCAGCGGGTTGACACGTGATAAGCCCCCTCTCACTGATCGGCACACATCCACACATCCTTTTTTACTGTCTCCTTTCCAGCCTGGGTCTTGACCCCTTTGGTAACCTCCTGGGGGGGCCCTTTCGTGTAGCCTTCCTTTTACAAAACCTCTGGACGGTGTGCCTGAGATAATATTGTGCTTCCTCCTGCTTGCACCGCCTGGTGAACCTTGACTATTTTGTATTCTCCTGTTCCGCCTCTATTCCTTCCGTGACTCTGTAAATGGCGCAATATTTGGAATTGTACACGTATCTTCCACACATGTAGCACTCGGGCCCTTTACCTTTGCCTTTTTTGTTTTCCGTTGTCCCATTCATTCGTGACGCCGTTTCCCGTTCGCACTGTCATCGCACTAGCCGAAATCGTTCACGCCTGCATCTCAATCACCGGTATGTTCATCATTGACTTGGCCGAACTCCATATAACATATAATCATTGTTGTCCTGCGCGTCGGCGTCCAATTTCCCACTCTTTGCGCAGCGTTCGTAATTGATGAATGTTTGTTGGTTGTCGTGGCGAATTCACGAGTCTGGCATATTGAAGCAACCCTGTTGCCACTCGACAAACCAATCACCTGCGTGATGCAGGATGATCCTCACCGCAAACAACATAACTGGTAACGATTGCAAACGTACTCCCCTGTTCTATTTCGGTCGCCACATCGTTCACCGATCTTGGGCGTTAGAAGAATCGTAGCCTGGTTCATCTTGTGACATACCGCGACTTCAGTAACAGCAGAAGGCACTTTGTATATGTTCGAATGGGTCATTCGGCCGCGACTCCAACCCCAATCGCTTCTTGATCCCCAACCACTCTTCGACGGTCCTGAGGCCCGGCGAAGGCTCCCCGAGGCCGAAAACTGGCAAAGATCTCCCGCCCGGACTTGTTTCACGACGCGAGCATGTCTGGGCTTCAACGACCGACGACGAGGACGAGGACGACGACGACGCCGAGGAGGAGGAGGAGGAGGAGGAGGAGGAGGAGGAGGACGACGACGACGCCGATCCCTCCGAGAGAAGCCGCCCGCGCCTGGCTCGCCACCTGCGGCCCGGCCGGCCGCAGCAGCGCGCCCAGCGCCCCCTCGCGCCACTCCTGCCGCCGCCGCGGCGCCGCGCGGCGGGCTCTCTGGGCGCCGAGGAGGGCGCGGCCCCGGACTGCTGTGGGAACCGCGCGACCCGACTTCGGTGGGCTTCGGGACGATTCGATGGCGATCCGATCCGTTTCCGATCCCATCCGAATGTGGAAGGCAGAAAAGCCACCGCGATAATGACCACCCCGATACGCGAAGCCGTTTAGTAAACGCACCCAAAGAAGGAATCAAACAGGGCAGAGCTGTTTAATTAAACGCCAATTGTCCGGTCGGGGTGGTGTTTCCTCCCTTGAGATTGTGCGATTCGGTGCATCTCTGGCCTGCCTCGCGACCTCTTCCGCGGGACCGACCGCTCCTCCCGAGTCCTTCTCTCTGGACGGCCCCGAGGCCCTTGGCGAGAGCCCCCCGAGAGGCCGAGGGGCGAGGAGGAGGCTCCTTCCCTGGGGCCCTTCCACAAGAAACCTTCCACAAGAACCCCAACCCTGAGACCCCCGGACCTCCACTGATTCCTCGCGTGGGGACGTCACGCTTCCCGCAGCAAGACCATCGAAACTCGAGAAGCCCAGGGCTCCCTTGGAGGCAAGCAGGGTGCTTCTCGGCATGGGCCTCCACTGTACACACTGTGTTCCGTCGGCGGCGAGGCAGACCCGAACATGATCGCGTCGTCAAAAAATCCGGACGGGAGGCGTTTGCCAGTTTTCGGCCTCGGGGGACCCTCGCCGGGCCTCGGGACCGTCACAAACAACTCGGGATGAAAAACCGGCCCCAGGGAAAGGGTCGGAACTTCCAGGGACCCCGTTTTTTTTGTGTGTATATATATATATATATATATTATTTTTATAAAAAAAGACGTCGCATGTCTGGGGAGGCAGTCCGCTCCAGCGTGTGGCTCAGCGGGGCCACCGAAATCCGAATTGTCTGGCGTGCCAGAGGACAGAACACAGACGAGGGCGGCCGCGCGGAGGGAGACGCGGGGGGGGGACGCGAGGGCCCAGGAGTTGGACCATCTATCCATACATGTATATGTGTATGTACATGTGTGCACATGTATATAGATTCATATATATATATATATTGTTTGGGCCGTCATTTGCCATAACTTAGGTGGTGGACCAGCATCACGTAAGATAGTGGACATATTCCTGGCCGCGTTTCTGTAGGGGAACGAGCATTGACAGAACCATACACACTCGGAGGTCCGCGAGGACTTCTCGGATCGGCGCTGGACCCCCCTTCCTAGCGCAGGGGGCGCGCCAAGTGCGGAGCTGGAGGCGCCGCCAGGGGGCTCCAGCGCAGATCCGAGAAATCTGAGCGGAACTCCGACTTGTTATTTGTCGTTTATGGCATTGTTTGTTCCCCCATTCTGGTCGCGACACTATCGACGCCTAAACGAAACAGTATGACTGTCCACGTTGGACACGAATTGATGAATCTCTGTCATTCATATTGTTGATCATGGGCAAGGTCGACATCGTAGAACGGCGGGGGGCTCTTGGCAGTGGCATGCCACTCCTTGACGAAGCTTTGCCCCGATGTCTGGCCGCCGCCATCGCCGCGGCGACCTTCAAAACTGACCTGGAAGTTTGGTTCGGGGCCAGACATCACGGAACGAATTGGTTCGGCCTTTGGGGCTCACTTCAGGGCCCTGACACTCCCAAACATGGGCCACAGAAAGAAACGGGTCTTACGCGAGCTACCTTATGCGGGAAGCTGACGCGCGACCTCACGCGTGGCGAAGAGGGCGCTTACGCGCGACCTCACGCGGGAAAATTACACGCAAATGTCCGCGCAAGCGACCCCGTTTTCTTCAACCGCTCACATGGATCTGGGGGCCCGACACTGACCGACGCTAATCGACGCCACATCGGCGCTACGTCATCGATTACCAAACGCGAACCGACGCCAAATACGGACATGCGACGGTATACGAGGCTCCCATGATTAGCAGCCGAGGGAAAGGGGTCGAGACCTCTCGGGCCAGCGGGCTGAGCACAGAAGTCCGTCGAAACACGCGGCTGGACGGAACGGCCGCGCCGCCGGGGCGGCGTCTGGGCGCTGCACTAGTTCCCAAACGTCCTGTGGGAGGAGGGGGAGGAGGAGGAGGAGGAGGAGGAGGAGGAGGAGGAGGAGGAGGAGGATGCCCACGTCGGCCCCTGCCCTCACACGACACCGTGGCCTCACCAGGAGCTCCACCGAAGGCTCCTGTGGCAGGGCTCGCCTTCGCCCCCCCAAGCCTATTTCGGCGACCCCTCACGCGCATCTCGTGGCCCCAAAGGGAGCTCCTGTGGCAGGGTTCGCACGGGCCCCCCAAGCTTATTTCGGCGCACCCCTCACGCGCCTTGTGGCCCCACGGGGAGCTTCACCGAAGGCTCCAGTGACAATGGCAGGTTTCGCGTGCTTGCCCCCGCCCATTTCGGTGCACAAAATCACACGCCTCGTGGCCCCACAATGGCAGGGTTCGCATGCGTCCCCCCGCCTATTTCGGCGCACCTCTCACATGCTTCGCAGCCTCACAGGGAACTCCACGGAAGGCTTCTGTTTTCAACATTGAGCGAAAAGAGCTGGGGGCACCTTGGGCCAGGGGCACCTTGGCACCTTAGCAACCCCCGACATGGGTACCCCTCACTCCTCCGAACAATTTGGGAAAAGATGCCAATACTGCTACTCCCCGGACCTCTCCCAGGGTGCGTTCTGACAAGGATTTCGGGGCGAATCCAGTGGTGGCGACGAGGACCTCCCAGGAGGCCCAAAACGGGGAGAAAACGAGGGACGGGCAGCGGTGTGGATGCCCTAGCAGCGTGTCTCGCCGGATTCCACTTGGCCGGCCCCGGGTCCCGGAGACTTGAGCAGTGACCGACCGTCCCGGCATTCCTATACGCCTACCACGAACTGTTCTTAGAACCCAACGATGTTCTTATTACCCAAACGATGTTCTTAGAACATTCTTGGTAGGCCTATAGGCACGCCAGGACGCTAGATAAAAAACAATGTTCTATATAACGTAATACCAATGTGTTAAAGCAAGACGGTCCCAGCCAGAAATGTTCTAAGGACAGTTCGTGGGAACCACGAAAGGGGCTCTTCGAACATTGTTTCGTAGGCCTATGAGCACGCCAGGACGCTTCGCCACTGCTTGAGAATCCCCGCCGGATCCGTGCCGAATCCGCGTCGAGTCCAGGCCGACTCCGCGCCGAAGCCGCGTCGAACCCACGTCGGAGTACAAGGAGAAACCGGGGCACGAGAAGTCCAGGGGTAGGTCGGGCATGTCCTCCTACAGGCGGGCTTTCGAGGAAAAGCAAGACAGTGTCAAGATTCAAAGATAGCCAAAGCTAGTCGATCAATCCTCCCCCGACTATTTTGGCGGACGGTCTCTAAATAGCTATTCCTCCTGGAGACAGACATGCCCGACTCGAGCCCAGGGGGGGCGGCCACGCGCGGGGGGGCGGCGCAGTCCTCCAGCCAAGCGCAGGAGGCAGACTCCGAGTCCTGTCGGCCGCGCGGGCCGCGCGCGCGCCGGCCGCGGGCCGGCTCGTCCTGCCGCTCTGCCCCGGCCTGCTGCTGCCCCTCGTCCGTCCTGCCGCTGCTGCGGCTCCTCCAGGGAGGCTCTGTGGCAAGCTCTGGAGACCTCTTCGGGGATCTTCTTGAGTATTGCTTAACCGATCCCCATCCCCAGCGGCGTGGCCTAGGCCCCGGTGGCCGATTTACCCCCCTAGATTGGGGTATCGGTCGTTCCTCTCGAGTTTCGCAGGGGGTATCCCCCTCAGGGGTGGTAATTTGGTGGGGGTTTCGAAGGGGGACGGGGATGGGGATATGGATCGGTTAAACGATAATTACCGACTTCTGACCCGGGTGGCCATGCAGGATCCTGCAAGATCCTGCGGGATCCTGCACCCAGGCCCGGGTGAATGTGACCCGGGCCCTGCAGGACCCTGCAAAGTTTGGCGCTCTGCTTGACCCCCGTTTGCGTCGACCCTCATCTCAAGGTTCCCTGCTTCCGGGGGTGCAGGGATCTCCAGGGACCTCCTGGAGGCCACCCACCGATGCATTGCCCTTGCCGATGGCGACTGCTCGGCTCTTCCTGTTCATTTATCGATATTATTCCTCCCTCGTTTTGCCCCTCGTCCTGCTCCTTTTGGATTCCAGCGTGGGTCTGTTACTGTAGACATGGTCATGAAACAAACGCTGAAACACATATCATGCGTATCTGTGCATATGCGGTCTGGCACATCGGGGCGGCATCATCGCGACGCCACGGGGCGTCGTGGACTCGAGCCTTTGGCCTGGAAGCACGAAGCGCACGATTACCAATATCATGAAGTTCTGCAAATAGTCACTGTGTTCTGAGGGGGGCACGGACACGCAGAGCACTGTTCAGCTAATCGTTAGCTGGCGCCCGCCTCGAAGTCATGCCCCATCCCCCGCCTCTATCTATCCCTTCGCTGTGGCCCCACCCTCCTCATGCCCCTCCGATTGCCCCGGTCCTCATCATGCCCATCATCCACACTGTCACCCCCCATGTGCCAATTCATGTCGTTCCTCGTCGTCCTCCTCCGCCGGATTAGTTCCCCCATCGTCCACATGCCTGCCCTCCTCCCATCCTCTACGCCCTAGTGCACATCATGCCCCCGACTTCTGCCCCCCCCCCCCCCCGCCTCCCTCGTCTTGTTCTCGCATTGAATAGGGCACTGTGGTCTCCATCCTGCTGCCAACCTCCCCCTGCATCGTGTGCGCCCCCTCGGGGGCTGCGACCTGTGCAACTGTCGCCACTTTCGTGGCCTCCTTGGGGGCACGGCGGAGGCGAGGGCAACGCATATCCAGGCGAGACCTCGCGGCTCCGTCGGGGGCTGCGAGCTGCGCGAGTGTCGCCACTTTCGAGGGCTCCTGGGAAGCACGGCGGGGGTGAAGGCAACGCACATCCAAGCAAGACCACAACTCGCGCCACCGTCGTCGATTTCACGGGCTCCTGGGAGGCATTGCGGAGGTGAGGACAGCGCGGATCCAGGCGAGACCTCGCGGCCCCCACGAGGGCTGCGAACTGCGCAACCGTCGCATCTTTCGAGGGCTCCTGGGAGGCAGGGCCACGCCGTGCCTCGCAGGAGTGCCGAGTGCCGGGCGGTGCAGATCCAGCCGAGAGCTCGCGGCTCCGTCGTGGGCTGCGAACTGCGCAACCATCGCCTCTTTCGAGCGCCGCTGGGGGTGACGGCGAGGGCGGGGAGGGGCGGACCCTTTGAGACCTCGCGGCGCCATCGATGGGCTGCGAACTGCGCCACCGTCGCCCTTGTTTCGTGGGCTCCCGGGAGGCACGGCGGAGTCCACGGCAGCGCGGCTCCGGGCAATACCTCGCGGCTCCGTTGGGGGCTGAGGACTGCGCAACTCCCGGGAGGCACAGCGGAGTGCAGGGCAGCGCGGTTCATGTGTGTCCCCGCGTCGCCGTCGGGGGCTGCGAACTGCGCCACCGTCGCCATTTGTTCGTGGGCTTCGGGGAGGCACGGCGGAGTGCAGGGCAGCGCAGGTCTAGGCGAGACCTCACGTCCCCGTCGGGGGCTGAGGACTGCGCAAATGTCGCCTTTGTTTCGTGGGCTGCCGGGAGGCACGGCGGAGTGCAGGGCAACGCGGATCATGTATGACCTCGCGGCTCCGTCGGGGGCAACGAGCTGCGCCACCGTCGCCACTTGTTCGTGGGCTCCTGGGAAGGCACGGCGGAATGCAGGACGGCTCAAATCGTGCATGTCTCGCGATGTGTTATGTTGCATGGAGCGTTGTTACGGAAATTCTCCTCGCTCAGCCCTGCTCCCAGACCTCGTGCTCCCTCGAGGGCGCACGCGAGGTCAACCTGGAGTCCGAGAGCCCCTCGCACTCCTCGCGAGCCGCCCCGCCCCCCCCCCCCTCTGGAGCAGCGGTCCAGGAGCCCCTCGAGCACGATCTCGCCCCTCTGCTGGCACTCGGCCTCGTGGCGCAGGTCGAACTCCTCGGCGGGGGGGCGGCGCGACCTGCCAGAGCAGAGCGCTGTGCGCTATCCTGCCGCGCCTCTCGCGGGCGTGCACACCACATCCTCTATCCGCCCTCTCCTCGCCTGCATCCTGCACCCTGCTCGGGCGTTGGCAGAACTGGGTTTAGCGGGACCTGGTTTAAAGATGTGTACTGGGGGACGCCCTCCCCCCGCCCGTTCCACTAACCAAACCTGCCGTCACCTGAAAAGACACCAGCTACGTCAGACCTGGTTTAGTGATTCTGGCCAATTTGCGGGCTCCAGGGCCCTCCTACTAACCGTGTCTCCTTACCTTGGGTCCTGGCTATACCCGACCTGCTCCTCCAGCCTCCCCCAGGCCCCCTCGCGCGCAGAAGCTCCCGCCCGCGTCCTTCCTGCCCACCGCCGCCCGCGGCCCTTCTCGCTCTCTCCCAGTCCTGGTCCCTCCCCCTATTGGCGGATTTTGGGCGAACAATTACCAACAAACGCTCAAAAATGCTCAAACATAGTCAAAACATCGTACCCCGACTATATTTGGCTAGATTTGAAGCATCCTCCTGTAGAGGGACGTGCCCGACTTAACCCTACTCCTGCAGCGCGCCCATCTTGGGAGACGCGGCTCCCTTCACGACCGCACGACCACCGCATCGCAACCGCCATCGCATCCCAGCCTCCAAAGGGACACCACCAGGGGCCTGCGCCTAAATTGACGGGACCTCGGGAGCACAACGCCCGTTTCGAGAAGTGCCTCCGACCGCGGCTAAGCACTGCATACGCGCGCCCGCAAACCGCGCCAACTTCATAGTTCGCACCCCCCCAAGGTCGGCGAGGTCTCGGCTGATCCGCGCAGGACGCCGCTCTGCGCTCATTCTGGTGGCGGACACTCCGCAGCTCGCAACCCCCCAGGGACGACGAGGTCTCGTATGATCCGCGTATGGCGCTTCTCAACTGACCCCCCTGGTAGCCCACGGGCGTGGCAACGGCGCCTCAGCTCAGAGCCACTCAGGGACGACGAGGGAGGGGGCAGGGCAGGAGGCGGGCGGGAGGCAGGAGGCAAGAGGGGGGAGAGGGATCCTCCTCCTCCTCCTCCTCCTCCTCCTCCTCCTCCTCAACCTCCTCCTCCTCCTCCTCCTGCTCCTTCTCCTCCTCCTGCTCCTTCTCCTCCTCCTCTTCCTCCTCCTCCTCCTCCTCCTCCTCCTCCTCCTCCTCCTCATCCTTCCTCAAGTATTGGGGGCCAAGTTTTCTTTTGGCCTCCTTCCCCTGTGCCTCAGCGTGGCACTTGAGGGACTAGATTCGGGCGCTACCCACCATACATTGACTGTGCCCAATCTCGACTAAAGCAGGGGAGACAGCAATGGCGCGGGGCCCATCGGTCCCCAGGGGCCGCGGCCGAGGACCATGGAGCAGATGTCCAGGCTGTGGGATATGCGAGTACACTGCTGAGCTGGCCACGGCAGGATGCACGTGTCGAGGCTGCGAATCAAGAGCTCCTCTGTGCAAGGCGCGCTCGCTGTCGGCGGAGAGGAAAGTCTCCTTCGATTTGACGGGCGACGAGGACGAGCTGGTGACTCCTCGAGGAACCAGGGGGGGCGGACGGCAAAGGCCGCAGCGACGCCAAGAGCTGGCGGCGTGGCGATGCAGGCCGGGACGTGGCCGCCCTCCTGGGGCAGGCTCTCCAGGCGACAGAAGATCAGGAGCTCATCAGCTACCTGCGCAAGTAGGTGGAGAAGCTCGCAGCGGAGGTGACGAAGCCCAATGATGAACCGTCCCTTGTTGAGGCGCTGCGACGAGCTGAAGGAGTGTGCAAAGACGCTGGCCATCGTCACTCGCAGCAGGTTTCACATGCTGTTCGGCTGAGGAGACAGCTGGAGGTGGCTGAGGATAAGGAGGCGAAGGCGGCGCAAGCGGTGGCCGAGGCCGCGCGGGCCCGCAAGGCCGCCGCGCAGGCTGTGGCACACGCCGAGGGCGTCCATGCCGCACCCGCCGCCCAGTCCGACGCCCCAGCATCGACGCCAATGTTTCATGTCAGCTGGGGCCAAGAGTTCTTCGACAACATCGACGGCATGGAGTGCGAGAATCATGAGAAGGAAGTGTTGAGGGGCATCGTGAAGAATCTTGAGGCCACGCAAGCCGCCATGACCTCGAAGGAGGCCGAGGTCAAAGCGTGGCTGGAGCAGATGGAGTCCGTCAGGCGCGACATCGAGCAGAGGCTCGGCAAGAGAAGGCGAGGGAGCGATGGCCAGGCTGTTGCTAGCGGACGGGGCACCGAGGCCGCGCAGGCGCAGCAGCCGCAGGCAGCAGTAGGAGGTTCCCCAGGCGCCGCCGCCAGCGGCGACGCGGCGGCGGCAGGCAGCGGCGCCGGCGCACCCGACGCAGCAGCTCAGGCAGCCAAGGAGCAGAAGATTGCGGAGGAAGCGAAGAAGCGCTCAGAGGCCAAGCTCCCGGCGGAGAAGCAGATGCAGAAGGGCAAGAGCATCGGCAAGGGCGGCAAGGGCTACGCTTCCCAAGCCGACGGCGCGAGCTCTTGACTATCTGGAGCTGCGCCGACGGCGAGCACGCCGCCCGACGAGGCGGAGGGGGAGTAGCATAGCTGCTGGTTCTATGCCAATGTCACTTGCCTGGGGGAGAAGTGTTGGCACTGGCTTGTGTCTCAGTCGCTCGACTTCATCAATGTCGTTGAGTCCCACATCCATGATGACGGGACACTGCGTAAGTAGGACGCCAAGGCTCGGGGTAAGGGCCTTCGCTTGTTCACCAATCCAGCGAGACCGTCTTCGAAAGCGAGAGCTGCAGTCGGCGCCAAGAGGGAGTTGTTGATGGACTACTCGAACGAGGGCGGTGAGTGGTTCATGTCCACGGGACACTTGCAGTCACACCGCCTCCATGCTGCCAGGTTAGCTGGGAGCAGACTGCGCGCGCCTCAGCATTATAATTGTCTCGATGCTTTTCTTGTTACAATTGTACATTTCTCGGGCTTCAGCGTGGTAATGGTTGGCTTTTACGCGCACATCTGTCTAGGGCTCACTGGAGCCAACGTCGGCAGATTTCAGAAGCGAACAGGGCTTCTGCGATCTCTTCAACTCCCCTGGATAGTTGCGGGGGGCTTCAACATGGAACAGCGTCAGCTTGAGAAGTCAGGCACCGTTCGTCGGTTGCAAGCCGTGGTTTTGCAAGCGAAAGGGGTTGACACATGTAATCTTGGCTCGGGTACGGTCATTGATTATCTGCTGCGCAGCCAGTCCGCAGTGCCATTTAACGCCGACGTCCGTCCTGTCATCTCTGTGCCCTGGAAGCCACATGCAGGACTCGAGATTATCATGCGTCGGTCGAAAGCTACGCGTAAGGTACAGCACCAGCTCGCTGTCGAAAAGCGGGCTGTCAAGTGTTCTGCCTTGTGTGAGGATTGCTGTCAGTCTGAGCAATCTGCTGCGAATCCCGAGGGCGATGGACCTGGGGAAAAAGATCCTTCGGCCTCAAGGATTGCGGAGCCTGATACTGAGCCTTCCAATTTTGATGCGTGGCCCGAGGAGGAAGATCCGTGGGCTGAGGAGCCGTCGTTCTGTCCCGACTCTTCCCTCCTCCCCGCTCTCGCCGCACCTGGGCAAGGATCATCGCAGCCAGTACTTCAGCCGGGGGCCCCTAACAGGTCTCACGGGGTCTCCAGGGACGTGCCTGAAGTGGCCGAGCAGTCTGGGGTGGAGCCACCGAGAGCTCCTGCTCCTGCTTTTGGCCACCCTCAGCCGCAGACCGTGGATTCCTCTGGGGCTGGAGGCCCTCTGGGGCTTAGGCTGTAGGGGGAAAGCTCTGGATTGGCCCCGTCTTTCGCCATTCCGTCCGATTTGTGGGCTAGGTGTAGGCGTGATGCAGGGTTTATCTCTGGATCGACCACTCTTCAGTCCCTTGCTCCTGCTTTGCGTCAATCCGTAGCCGTTCGGCTCAAGCCTGCACAGCTTGAGACTATATCAGGTCTTTACGCCACTTGGGTGTCAGCTGTGGAATCCACAATCACTTCTCATCATGGGGTGGATTTGCTTCGAAGGCCATCGCGAGCCGAGGGGCCTGTTCACCGTCGCCACAGCGAAGATGCCGCAGAAAGTTCGTGCGACACCCCTTCGGGACCAGATCAGTGGCTGGTGGGCCCAGCTCAACGCTTTGCTCGGAGGTCTCGTGTTGCACAAGACGAAGGACAACGGCGCTCTCCAGATCGAGCGCTACGTGACGGGGTGTGCACGGCATCTTGCGGATCGGCCTGAGCATGTGCAACGCGTGCTCGTCGAAGGTCGTGACCCCCCTGGTCGGAGTGGGAGAGGGTTCTGAGCGGCGCCGGCGAGGTGGTCACACCAGTGCTCGTGAGCTTCGGGGCCAGCACCAAGAGGATCATGGGGAGGGCGCAGCGCAGGGCAGCGCAGGATAGTATCAATGAGTTCAAGGGTTTCATGGTTGAAGATGGGGCTATTGGAACTCGACATAAGGCCCTTAATCTACAGAGTTTGCCAAATCTCGATTTGGACGAAGGAGATGGTGTTCTCTTTCGCCCACGTGACATTCTATATATATAATTATATATTATAAATATATATAATTATATAGCATCGATCACAAAGCGAGGACATGGCACGATTTGTGGGCACCAGCCGCTTTGGGCGAAGGCGAAATCTCTCGGACCTTCGCCCAGGTTCAAGCCGCTGCTGATGGCGAGCCGTTGCCTGACATCTGTCGCAGAGATACGGTCAGCCCTTTGCAAGATGAAGGGGCGGGCGGGCCTCGAAGTCGACGTGCTCAGCCCGATCGACGCCGAGCGCCTCCCCGACGCGGCGCTGGCCGAGTTGGCGCTGTTGTTTCAGGCGCGCGAGTGCCATCTCATGTGGCCTGGGAAAATGTTGCTGATCATAGGACGCATGGTGCCAACAAAATCGAATGGGGACCGACTCATCGGCCTGGTATCGATGGCGGGGAGGTTGTGGAGCCTCATACGCGAACCTCATGTGCGTCGCTGGCCCTCGGCAACCGAGGAGAACTGGGATGCTGCTGTGCGGGGGAACTCCAGCCTCCGCGAGGCCTTCGTCCGTGTGCTGCAGCAGGAGGTGCCCCACCGCCTCGGAATAGCCACGGGGGAGGCCCTTTCGACACCCAGTCGTTCTACGACTCCATCGAGTGGCCGACTCTCGCCTCCTGCGCGCTGGCACTGGAGCTCCCGCCGCAGATCTTGTACCTCGAGCTGTTGCAATGCGTGGCGGCCCGGACGCTGGGCCAGCTTGGCGCCGCGACCAGGGCCTTTCAGCCCACGCGGAGCGTCGTCCAAGGCCTGCGGGCGGGGACGCGCTTCGCCAAGGCGGTGACCCATACGTGCTGGCGACCGTCACGGTCGCCCACCCGCGGCTTGGGCGACGCATCCGGATCGACGACCTTTCCCAGGTCTGCCGGAGGCTCGCGAGCTGCTGCAAGGAAGGACTTGGTTGCGTGTGTGATTGACACATGTGAGGAGTTGAGGGCCAGGCAGTTACGAGTTGCACCGAGGTCAGTTATGGTGTGTCCGTCGCTCCAGGATGCCAAGTGGGTGGCGAAGCGTGCGGGGCTTGCTGGCTATTCAATCCAGCCAGCCAAGCAGGCCGCCTACCTCGGGGTCGACATGGGCGGGGGAGTGGGGATGTCTCATGAGAACAGGGTCAAGAGGGATGCGAAACATAAGTCCATGAGCGGCAAAGTGCGCAGATACGCATCTGTGTCGAAGATGTACCGCGTCACGGGGGGGCTCGAGACGCAGGGGGCCAAGGCGGCGGGGGTGTACAGACGCCAGGCCTACGGCACCTTCGGAGCCAGGATTACCCTGGCTCGACGCCGCTTGGGCCAGGCGCTGGCTGCGCCCACGCGCGGACGCTGCCTGACCACGCTGCTGGCGCTGAGAGCGGGGGACATGAATCCCGTGATCAAGCGCCAGCTGAGACGCTCGACCTGCGGCTGCGCACTTGGAGGGAGCAACCAGAGCGGCGACCAGGAGTGCGGCAAGCGTGGGACAGAGTACGCAAGCACATGCAAGAGCTCCCTGCAACGAACCGTGTGCGTCATGCGCGGGGGCCCCTCACGGCTACCGTCCTCCACCTGATGGGGGCAGACTGGGGCCCGCAGCAGGCTGCATCGTAGGACCTCCCCGCCAGTCACCCAGCCGCGGGGGACACGTGGAAGTTCGACGACGACATGTACACAGGGCCGCAGTGCTGGACTCGCACCAGGGCTTCATGGCGGATTTCAAACAGACTCTGAGGCACGGCCTGTGGCAGAGGGCCAGCCAGCACTTCTGCGGCACAGGTTTGGAGCAGGGCGCCGACTGCGCCCCGTACCAGATCCTGTTGCAGCAGCTGGCGGCCGTCCCTGTCTACGGGCACAGGCTGTCAGAGGTCATGTTCGCATGCGCTGTTGGGGGGTGCTGCCCCCATCAGCGCAAAAAAGATAAGTTGCGCGGTGGAATGTCCTCGGCGCCGGGAGGCGCCAGAGTTTATGATGCACCGCATATGGCTATGTGAATGCAGTGGAAGACGTAACGCGTCAATGAGTCGAACGATCTGATCCCGCAGGCTATCGCCCAGGGCGAGGTCGACCAGGGCTTCTGGCTCAGAGGACTCATGCCAGCTCCTTGGACGGCAATGCCAACTTCATGCGAGATCGACGCCTGGGTTGACACGGAGGAGCTGGACGGGGAGCTGATCACCTAAGGTTGCGTCGCAAGCCGCTCGGAGCAGGCTCCGCTTTTCGCTTTTGGCGACGCGAGCGGGGGGCCTGACACCAGCAGCCCGCTCTTCCGACGCGTTGGCGTTGGAGTTGTGCTCATGCGGGCTCTCGGGCCTGAGCTGCAGCTTGGCTCGACTGTGCGCGGCCCTCTTTCGAGGCCTAGACAGATTGTTGCTCGAGGCGAGCTGCGAGCTTTGCATTTAGCCGTGTGGATGAACACTGGATCCATGGCGTTCACCTCAGATTGCGAACCAGCCGTTTCAGGTTTTTATAGCCGCAAGTTCGAAGAACCCACAGGTGAGGACGCTGACCTGTGAGCACGCCTGGGGCTCCTGCTGAGAAAAAGGTCGCACGATGCCATCACTGTCCTCTCTGTTAACTCTCACATCTTTGCCACCGACATCGTGGAGGGGAGAGCCCCGCGGTGGATGGTGGCAGGCAACCTGATTGTCGATGAGATCGCTGGGCAGGCGGCCAGCGAAGCCCATCTCCCAGAGGCAATCCGCCAGCAAGTTTTGCTGCGCGAGAGAGCGGCCCGTCTTGTCAAGATGCGAATTCTTCGGGCCACTCGTGATTCCATGGCGGCTGAAGATAAGGACAGGACTGCCGCGGAGGAAAACGATCCTGCCATCTCTGCCCCCCTTCCGCCCCCTGCTGCTGCATCTCTCGCCCTTCTTGCTTCGTCTCATTCAGTGGACAGCACAGGGTGTAGATGCACCAGGTGTGGAGGCTCGGCGCCGAAGGCGATGCTGACAGCCTGGCTGAGGACCCAGTGCTTCCATCAGATCAATTATAATGGTGCCATGTTTCGGAAGCCTGAGGGTGCTATGTTGCACATCGCAGGTGGGTATGTCCACCCCAGTCACATAATGCAATTTCATGGTGATTTGAAGTTGTGGTATTGCGTCAGTTGCGATAGCTATGCATCCCTGCAACTCCTGGCCCTGGGGCGTGAGAGCGTGACACCTCCCACTCCCTGCAGGGCCGAGTATTTGAGGCTAATCTCCCAGGGCTCGTGGCCAAAGGTCTTTAGCAAAGCCGAGAAGGCCACCATGGGGTAATCGCAGGGTTTAAGCGATGTGGTGGGTTGATTGACTTAGTCATATGGTCATGCTCATGCTCATGCTCCTCCTCCTCCTCCTCCTGGCGGCGGATGGAGGACGTGAGGACGTGACGCCTGCCACAAGGCTCTAGTTATTCAAAACTAGACCCTGGCACATGCGGGCTGGAACGAAACTGACGTCTGGGAAGTTGGGCCGCTCGCGGTTTCGGGGCTTCTCCTCTGGGCTATTACTTTGCGAACCCCGATCCTCCTACGTCTCGCGGAACGCCCGAACCTCGCAAGGTCAAACAACAACTCCTTCCCTCGAGCGCACTCACCCTGAACACACCTGCGGCCCCCAAGACCGTGCGCATTGTCATGATCTCCTCAACTCCAGCCTGCAGAGGAGGAAGACACGGAAGCCCAACCATCACACCCTACCTAACGACCCGAGGGAGTGGTGCAGTCCCGACCCCAGGTCATCCCAGCAACAAAATAGCCTCGAGCTCGAATACATGACCTCGATGAAGTGAAACGCGACCCTCCCCCTCAGCATGCTCCTGGAGCACTTCGCCCTCCATCTCTACCATGATCTTCCACACCTCCTCGGCAATTCACTACGGAATCATGCTGTAATCGTAAAAAGAAAGCTGCAACAACGCCCAATACAACATGACTGCGACATTTGCGGACTGCCCGCTGAGCAACATCGCAGCTACCACGCGCAACTGCAACGCAGACCTGCTGTATGCTCAGACGTGCTGGTATCCGAGATGTACGGCCCAAGCAGGTTGTCCAAGGACGCCAGCGAAGGCCCCACGAAGGCGCTCAAACGGCCTGAAGACGGGCTCAAGACTCCAGCCATGAACGTGTCGAGATCATAACCCTGAACAATCGCTGATTCCTCGACTTGTGTGTTCGTTCTCCTCTGTGACTTCCGCTGCAATTCCCAAAGGCCGCGGCGCGGCCTCATGGACCAACTGTCCGGAAGATCTGGAGGCTTTTCAAGATACAGCTTCGATCACGGCTGATCCTGTACACAGTCGTACTTGGTGGCCGTACTCGAACATCCTGTCCGATGCCTAAAATAGGCCCAAGAGCACCAAGGGAGGCCCCCGTGGCGGCCCCATGACGGCCCCAGAAAGGGCACAAGTGTTCAGCCACGAACACCTCGAGAACATACCGCTGATCACTCACTGTTGCGTACATTTGCTTCCTAGTTTCCCCCTGGGGGGTTCGACTTGACTCCCACTCTGCGGGCTCAACGTTAGAGGAACAAATAAATTCATGAACGTAAACTTTCGGACGTCCGCGTGGATTTATTGGATCGGCGCTGGACCGGCTTCCTGGCGCGCGGAGCGCGCCGAACGCGGCCCTGGAGACGCCGCCAGGGGAGCCCAGCGCAGATCCAAGAAATCCGCGCAGAACTCCGACAGTTTATGAATATGCACATTTTCCCCAGCATTGCTTGCACTTAGGGGCTTCTGCCTCTCTTCTAAGGAACTGAGCTTACACCACATAGCTTACACCAAATATATTACACCACATAGCTTGCACAACATATCTAACACAACATATCTTGCTGCACATCGGTTGCACCACATAGTCTATACCACATAGCTTGCACCACGTATACTGCCAGACAACCCTTGTGCCACGTAGCTTACAGCACACAGAGTAGACCACATAGATTGTACCACATCGCTGGAACCGCATAGCTAATTTACACCACATGGCCTGAACCACGAAGATCGCACCACCCAGCCTGCACCACATAGCTTGCACACCGCATGGCTCGTACCACATGGCTTACGCACACACGGTGCAACGACATACTGTTTGGTGCCCACGCTGGCCAACACTGCTTTCAGAATAACAGCTAGGCCGACGAGCCGGACGGTGGACGCTGTGCGAAGACTACCCCAGCTGGGCTGAACTGCCGTAGAACACCCACGCGTGGACGCAGCACGCGCCGGTCGACTGGGCACCAGGAAGAGAATGCGGAGAACTTCGGCTACATCAGGAGCTCGACCACAAGAGACCTTCCACAAGAAACCCAACCCTCAGACCCCAGGATGTCAATTGATTTTTGGTGTGGGAACGTCACGCCTTTCACAGCAAAACCATCGAAACTCAAGAAACCCAGGGCACCCTGGAGGCAAGCAGGGTTTTTCTTGGCATGGGCCTCCACTGTACGACAGAATCGATGATCGCGGGGATGAGCGATGCAGCCACACGAGCTTCGCGGCCTCCCGAGGCCAAGTGTGACAAGGGCCCTCCCTACTATCTTGCAACTAAACAATAACGAACTAAAACGGCCCAAGAAGAGCCCACGACGCCCCATGAGGGCTCCAAGACGACCCCAATAGAGCCCGAAGAGGCAACTGTCATTGATGTTGCTTGGGTGTCTGAAAGATTTTGGCGTTTCCGCCTTTTCAAGCTTCCGACCGCCCTGGACGACCCAACAGGACTCGAAGATCGCCTCAAGTGAGCCCAAGAGGCTCCAAATAATGCGCCAGGACGGCCAAAAGGGGGTCCCAAGGCGGCCAAAGAGGCCTCCCCAGAAGGCTCCAGAGGCTCCCACGAGGGCCCAAATAAGGGGGACCCGAACAGACACACCGAGCCTTCTCCGAGATTTGGCCCCCTAGACCGACAGGCTCCCGAAGAACCAGGCCCCCAGAGGCCCCCCCAAGAGCCCCAGATCCCCAAAAATGCCGCCAAGAGGCCCCCGAGAGGCCTCCGACGAGACACCAAGAAGACTTCCAAAGGCGTCTTGTCTGCGACCCAGCTTGGTCTCCAATATCCCAAAAAACCGTCGAGATGCCTCCTCTTCCGCCTCCTCCGCTATCGAGTCCTCTATCCTCCTTCTTGCCCACAGTGGGGACACCAAAATATAGCAACGGAGGTGCAAAATGGGCGCGACACGATGCCATAACCCACTTACCGTGCTTGGTGGGGGGCAGATGGGGACCAGAGGGAGGAGGGGAGAATAAGACCTTCCAGAATCCACGAAAGCTCAACCCAAACCACAACCAACCCCCTCGTCGCTTCTCATCCTCACCCTCTTCCGCGCACGGCATCCGAAGTCGTGAGAAGTGTCACGACCACAGCTCCCGACCGCATCACACAATGTGCCTCGGGCCCGATCCTCCCGCGGGGTCCCGTGGCGCCAACAGGGGGCCGAAACAGCGCGTCGCGTTGTTTTCTCACGACAGCTGGCTGCCAAGATCCCTCCTCCTGGGAGATTGATGTTTCATCCGCATCCGCGAGTCGGAAGAAGTGGGTGGAAACATGAAGCAGGAAGGCAAATGAAAGAGATTGTTGTTCGGACCCGCCCAAAGAGTACCAACAGACGACACCATACCGATTCTTGAAGCAGGGCGACGCTTGACATAGCTTGGGATTGGGCACAGATTGGATATCCCAAAACTAACCACTTTCAACGACCAGCGTGCAGGCCTGGCTCGCGACCCGGCCCCCTCTCGAGGGGCCACGGGGGGGGGCACGGACAGACACCTTGCCTCGGGAGCAGCAGGGCACACGGACAAGGCCTCGACTGCCGCCGTGATTAGAGGCCTCCTAGATGGGGTCGGAGTAAATGGCGTCGGAGGATCGCGCCTTATCGCCGATGCATCGGTGATGCATCGGCGATGCATCGGCGACGCATCGGTGACGCACTGGCGATGCATCGTCGACGTCGTCGATGCATCGGCGTCGTCGACGTGAACATCGAGCCGCATCGCCGATGCATCGGCGATGCGGCGCGATCCTCCGACCTTATCTGCTACGACCCCATGCAGGAAGCCTAGATTTATGTTCCCGGCCCCGACAATCGATATGCTCTGTCTGCAGGCTCTGGGCCCAAGGGGGGAAGATCGGCAGCGGCTGGCAGATGGGAGCCTTCAGTTTCGCGATGTGCCTCCGCAGGCGCGCCCGGGCAAACGCAGGGCGCACGAGGGATATGGAAGGAACACGACAGAGGAGGGACAAGAGACGGGAAAAGAAACACTCCTTTCGTTTCAACCAAATGTTTGACCGTAATCGAACATATTCCTACTGCGTTCGGAGGCTTCTGGAGGACGCGCGTCCACTATAGTCAGCGGGTATGGTCCTCGGATGGTGCTGAGACCTCTGGCAAGGCGAAACAACATACGCCCGGGTGTGGGATGGCAGAAAACGAAGACAGACGGGGCTGGCTGGGGTGGCCGACGATGACGTCTGACCCCGGACGACCAGCAACAAACGCAAAACCATCGAATACGCAACGCCACGCGCGGACAAGCGCCCCCCCCCCGCCCTTCCACAGGGCAGAAGGCACAACATATGAACGGGGAAATGCTGATACATAACTTCTTCTATTACACACTACCATCTACTCAGAGCCAGTCTGGGGAGGGGTTGAAAACCCTTGCGGGGGGCAGGCGGAGCTGAGCCCGACAGGGCTTGCCAGATATGTCCAAACGTGTACGAGACAGTACTTTTGCACCACAACGCCGAGCGGATGGGGCTTTCCACCCCTTCGCTCCTAAGAGAAAAAGCTAGACCACCAGGCCCACAAGCTAGCAAGCTAGCTTCCTGAGCGTGCAGCCTGGGGGCCCCGAGCCTCCGATACAAAAGGTCCGCGGACAGGCATTTTCGACACCGCCCAGCCGACCCCACTGGGCCACTGGTCAAAGGCTTGAACTCAAAAACAGCCGAGCACGGGCAAGAAAGGAGGGAGGGAAGCGGAGCCGAAACTCTTCTGAAAGAAAAAACGAAACCCACGGCCTCCCCCCAAGGACCCATTCACACTCAGACTTGGCTCTTGTTAAGTATAGGTTTTCAGGAGAGGGAAGAACTACGAGGCTCCAAACATACGGACAGGAGCCTCCTTCTCGCGATGGCTCGTCAGAGCCTGAATCATGCCGGCGCCGGGCGGGGTGCCTGCGCCAGGGCCGCGCACGATGGCGCCGTGCACGGCCTGCACCGAGCGTCGACAAAAACTGCTGCCCTTCCTGATCTGGGGGCCGCTCAGCCCACTCGACTTCTCGACAAGGACGTGGTACTTAGTGCACCTCTGGAGCGCAGAAGCCGTGGCCCATCGTCCTCGTCTCCCCGCCGCCTCCAGGTCGCCATTCAACGCCGCGAACCTTGCCGCCGCCGCATGTCTCATCCCGTGCGGCGGCCCCGCCTTCGCCATGCCGGCCCCCTTCAACGTCTTCAGCCAAACCTTTCGGAAGCCAGCCTGGGCGAACGGGATGACCTGGTCGTCGGGCTCACGGTTCTGGGCCAGAACCTTCAGCAGCAGCCGAGAAATCGGCCACTCCTGCACAGCTCCCTGGTTGGCGCCCGTCTTTGTCTTCTGGCGTATCATGCGGTCGCCCAGCCTCAGCCCCACTCCGCCGTCTGGTGTGAAACTGACGTGCCTGGCCCGCAACATCTCCGAGTCCTGTTCACGCAGCCACCCGTCCAATTGGATGGTGCAGGCACATGCCTTCAAGATATGGCCTGTCTCCAGCATCCTCGTCACGATCACGGCCATCGCCTGGAACGGGATTGGGTGCCTTCGCCTCCAAACTGCAACCTCCCCCACGCCTTCAGCGTTCGGTGAGCCGTCGGGAGCTCCCCGCGATGGTCCTCAAAGATGTGCACGAATCCGTTCAAGGTCAGCGACGCCTCCATGTAGTTGTCACCGTGCAAGTAACAGAGGTCGCTGATGTAGTTGTCGAGCGCGCGGTCCCGATCACCCAGCGCCCCGAACGGCACCTCCCCCCGCTTGCAGTCGACAAGGAAGGCCCTCACCTCGCTCTCGTACACGGCATTGGAGCCGTCGACCGCGCGACCAACGACCAGCTCCCCTCGTAGCTGAGATCGCCAACAAGGTCGCCGAAGACGTCGCTGCCGCTGCCCCAGCACCCTCAGGAGCGGCCGCACCGCCTTGGGGGTCGCCCTCATCCTGTGCGCCTCCTTGGTCTCGTCCGCCGCCCCGATGCCGACGCCCCTGCTCGACCCGCCCGCCATGTTCCACTGGCTGGGGACCCACCTGCAGTAGCCCCTGATCCCAAGAGCCAGCGCGACGCCGCAGGCCACCCGCGCGAGCCTCAAGAGCGCCGTCGCAGAAGATCGGCCTTTCTGCAGCACCCCCATGGAGACCACCGAGTCGGTCATAATCACGACACGTTTGTTCCAGCATCTCGAGGATCTTGCCAGATGCCGAAGCACGCTGACCACGCACCTCAGCTCCAACACGTCGCTGTGCCCCCCCGCCTCCCAGCGCCCCCGGAAAAGCTCGTGCCACCTCGCGTTTCGTCGATCCAGCCCGCGCCGATCGGCATAACCTGCCCTCGGCTTTGCAGGGCCCGCGGCCGCTCCCGACGAGGCCGAACCTGACCCCCTTTCGGCACCTCCCCCCTAGCGTAATCGAGCTGCTCGAGCTTCACGGCGTAGTTGGCCGCGAAGTCGCCCCCGTAGCTGAGGGCGACCCCCGAGACCACCGCGAACTCGTCCCGCAGCCCATCGTCCTCCACGAGCGCCGCCAGGTTGGTCACCACCAGCAGCCCACACACCTCCAAGGAGGAGACGCCTTCCGCTCGACAGAGTCCGCCCCAGGGCCCCAACGCTAAGTCGTTCAGCGCCGCGGGCCCCACGACGACGAAACCCAGTTCCTCTCGAATGGCGAGCATGGCCACCTCGATGACCACCTGCGCCCAGTAGTTGTCCTGATCGACCTTTCGATGTGTCCTGTCGTCGAGCCCCTCGTGACCCCAGGGCGCGCGCGATCTCCGATTGTAATCGTCCGAGAAGGTGCCCAGGAACATCCTCAGGTGGCAGACCCAGAGCCAGCGGCGCCTCAGCCGATTGAAGAAGCCGCCCAACTACCTGCGCGCCCAGGAGCTCCTCGACCCGAATGTCCTCCACCCGAGCCGTCACCGGGTGCCCGAGCTCGCCCTACAGGTCCAGCAAGCCCTGCTGCAGCGTCAGTATCCCAGGGCGACCTTCCTTCGGGTGAATCATCTCGCCCTCCTCCAGGCCCGCCTTGCTTACCTCCTCCTCCTCTATCTCCGTCTGCGTCTCCTCCACCCTGATCTGCCACACCTGCTCGGCCCCTCGGTCCAGCTCCTCCCTGGTCTCCTCGACGCTCGACTTTGTCGCCACACCGCAAACACTTTCGTCGCTCGCACCGGCCATGTAGATCGTCGTGTGCCAGGCGAGCTCCAGGTTCGCCTCGAAAGATATGGCCAGCGACCCCGAAGCCCTCAGTCAGCCCGACCATCACCGTCGTCGGCAGGCGCTGCAGCTCCTCCGCCCCCCCGCCCGTCCAATTGCCGATCCGTCGATAGCTGGCGCCCAAGATCGCGGAGGCTGGTCGGCACGCCAGCATGCCCCGCGCCCAGCGCCCCACCACCGTCGCCAGCTCCCGAGGGCGGGCGGACTGCATGATCACGACCGCCTCGGCGCAGATAATCAAGTCCTTCATCTTTTCGGGGTAGACCTTCAGCGTGTAGTGGCGTCCAGAGATCGCCAGCCCTAGTCCTCGCCGCAGGCCTTCCCCTGCCCCCTCCTTGTGCGCCGCGAGCCCCTTCGCGCCCAAGTAGCTCCGAATGTGGCCCTTCGTCACCTCCAGCTCCGCACCCCCCCCCCCCCATCCTTCGCGAGCTTCAGCCCAATGTCGTCGTCGACGTACAGGGGCAGCAGTCGGTCCCTGCGAAGCTCGGGCACGCCTTCCTCCGTGGACAGACCCCCCATGGCCTCGAAGCAGTCGACGAGCGTCGAGTGGGCCAAGAAGACGGCCCAAGCCACCCCCATCACTGGCGCAACAGCCCCACTCCAGCGGCCCCCAAATGCGACGCAGGCAAATCAGACCCCCCCTCCTTCGCAGAGCCATGCAGCTCCGCCAGCGCCACTCCTTCGAGCGCAAAGTACTCTGCCAGCCCCTCCGCCCGCCTCAACCTGTAGAACCAGTCGGGCACATTTCCCTGGAAGCTCTCTAGCACTCGGCCCTTCAGGATGTCGCCCGCCAGCTCCAACGCCGATAAGGCAGGAGGTGATCCTAACGGGGTCCAGGGCGGTCGACGGAAGAGCAGATTCACCTTCCGAGCGGCCCAGATGAGCCTCGACTTGGTCACTTCGCGCCCGTGCTCACGTCTTTTGCCGCGCAGAAAAGGCCCCAGGTGTGCTTCGCCTCCTTCGCGTACTGAGCCACCCCTGCTTGCGTCATCCGCGTGGCCGCCGTGAGCCTGGCGCGCCGATCCTGCCAGCCTGGGTCCGAGTCGCTCTCGATGCCCTCGCGCCTCTGCTAGTCTACCTCCTTCGGGCCCTCCGGCATGCGGCTCCCCCAGCGCCCCAAGTGGGGCGCCGAGGTCGCCGGGGGGTCCGTCAGGGGCAAGCCCGCGGCCCCAAGCGGCGGCAGCGAGACCTGGCCCGCCACCATCCTGCAGAGGTCGCCCTTCTCGATAAACGTCGTAGATGATGCAGTCTGCTTCATGCCGCGCCCTCCGCCCGCCGTATCACCCGAGCTGTCGGGCCCCCGCGAGCGGCGAAGCACCGCTTTGCCGTCGCCGATGCCCCCCCGCGGCCCGAGACGGGCGCGGCGGTCCCAGATGTCGCAGACCACCTCCCGCCGGGGCCCCGTCGCCCCCCCCCCCCCTGATGTCGGAACAGCCGCGCCATCGGCCGCGCCAGCTCGCCCTGCGGCAAGAGAGCACAGTGCCCGAGCTGCCCGACACGTCCGCATCCACGTCAGACGCAGCGGGTTCGCAGACAAACCCGTGCTCGAGCCCCTCGCCGCAAGTGGCCCCGTAGGCGTAGGCAGGCCCCATCAGGGGATCCCCCCCGCGGAAGTCCATCGGCCCCAGGATCTCGAACAGGAAGCGCCAGTTCCCCTGGAAAGCGACGAGGGTTGGGCACGGTGGTGCAGCTCAGGTCCGCGATGTACAACAC